TATATGAGTTCTAAATTCAAAAAAGTTAATAAATAATGAAGTGAATTGGATAAATTAGTGATTATTTAGATATTAAATTGCAACTGCAAGAGTTCATCTGTATATTATTAATACAAGCTTTCATAGATATTGAAGAAAATTTTTATTTTATTATAATTTAAATCATTCCAATATTTATTTAGAGATGGAGTAAAATTTTTATTTTGTTATAATTTTTATTTTATTATAATTTAAATCATTCCAATATTATATTAAGAGATGGGAATAAAAATTTGTGATTTGTAAATAATTAATTTTTATTTTATTATAATTTAAATCATTCCAATATTTATTTAGAGATGGAATAAAATTTTTATTTTGTTATAATTTTTATTTTATTATAATTTAAATCATTCCAATACAAGCCTTAGGTAACAATAAAAACTTGAACGATCACACCACATTCATTAACCCAAACCAAGACTCTGTCGCACCTAAAGTCCTTAGTCACTGGAGTTACTTCCTTCAGCACAATTGCGTGCACATTTTTGTTCTTTTTCTCTATGAGAGCTGCAGCAGCTTTGCCTTATATTTTTCACAAGCCACTCTGTCTTTCCTCTAATTATATTTTTCTCTCTCCCTTCTCAGTAAGTTAGATGAAAACTACAGAAAATGATGGATTTATATAGAAGTTTTCAAATTGGGAATAAAGCTTAATTTACCCCCCCCCCCCCCCCCCCCCCCCCCCCCCCCCCCCTTAAACTTAGGAGCAATATTCAGTTTGCCCAAAAATCAATTTTTTTTATAATTTACCCCCATAAATTTGCACCAGAAGAACAAAAAGCCATTTATTATTGAAAAGAATTTTAATTTAAATTAAAATATAATTAAAAATAATGGAATATTTCATTTAGATCAAATACAATTAAGAAACAATTAAAAAATAATAAATTTTTAAAACCAAATATTCATATAATTAAATATTTTCTAATTTTATAATCTTTTAAATAAAATATTTTGTTTAGTTATTTTTTTAATCAAAGATATGAGACTATAATTTTTTTATAATTATTATTATTATGTCTTTAAATAATTTTTCTTTCTTAACTTTAAACTTTTAAATAATTTTTATTAGTTAAAAATATTAAAAAATAATTTTTTTTATGAAAAATTAAGTTTTGTTGTTTTGGTGCAAGTTCGGTAGGTAAATTTTATAAAAAAAAAAATTAATTTTTGGACAAATTGAATATTTCTCCTAAGTTTAAGATGTTAAATTGAGCTTTATTCCTTTAAATTGTAATAAAAACAAACAAAACGGGTATTTGAAATAATAAAGGATAAGCACGGTAAATACAATAAAATGAGAAATTTTGCAATTGAAATTTTGCGCGTGACAGATTTTATAAAAATCATTAATATACGAACAAGAGCAATTTTGCCGGGACAAAGACATCTCGTGGGCCCAAATTAACTGCTTGGATACACGTGCTCGCACTGAACAGAAGAAAAGATAAGGTGGGGTTTGTTTTCGATTAAATTTTTTATTTTTACGATTAAATTTTTTATTGTTTCATTTCTTTTCTTTAAAGATAAAATAAAAAATCTGTTTTTTTAAATTTGTTTAAACTTTTTTTTCTTTGTATTAAAGAATATGTTTTGAAAAATAAAAATTTAAAATTTTATTGGAAAATGCACAAAATAAGTGGTTTAGCAAGAATTTTGTGTTTTCTATTTTTAATTCTATTTTTCTCATTTTTTTCATTTTTATAAGATTTATCTTTTTCATAAAATTATTGTTGTATTTGTTGGTTATTGATTACTATTATTTTCTCTATCTATATAAATCTAATGTCATTTTGTATTATTTATTTTATTATTATTATTTGGGTATTATATTTTTATTCAACAATTAATAAATTAATAGTTACTATAACATTTGAAATTTAAAATTTAAAATTATAAAATTATTTTTAATTATTTCATCCTGAAAACTTTGGATTTTTAGAAAAAAATTTATAGTAACGAAAAATATTAATGGACTTAATAAGAGAGATGTGATAATTTAGAAAACCCAATTGTTTTCGCTTGTGAACAAAAAAAAAAGAAAATAAAATTTTTAAAAAAATTAATTAATTAAAAATAAATAATCCAAAAATTTAAAAATTATTTCATATTTCTAATAAATAAAAAACACTCCAAAACAAACCGGTGTTTTCAGATAAAAAAACATTTAATAAATCATCGAATGTATTCAGCCACTCATAATGCATAAAACAAATTCTTCAGTAATGGAAATGAAAATAAGGAAATAAATAAAAAATATCTTGGTCAAATATTTTTTATCTTTTTATTTGGTATAAATAAATAAATAAATATAGAAATAGAACTAAAAAAGACTTGTTCTTTATGATAATCATATGGTTATCTTCAATATTTGCATATACTAAGAAGTAAAAATATTCCTAATAATTTTTAATAACTAAATAATATAATATTTAGAGCCTTACGAATGCAGATGTGATTTCATTTGGAATATTATACTAAATGTCAGTTTTTGAAATTTATTTATAAAAAAAATATCAGTTTGACCGTAAGATTTAAGTTATTGCCAATTAAGGTTCATTTTTACTTATGTACCCTTTTTTAATTTATAAGGCATTAATTTGTTATTATTGCCAATTAAGGTTCATTTTTACTTATGTACCCTTTTTTAATTTATAAGGCATTAATTTGTTAGTATTTTAGTGTTATAATTTCTTAGTATTTCCTTTTGTATTAATTTCCTATTTTCATTATTGTTTCTTTTTTTTTTTTAGTTTGTTTTCTTTTTTTTGCTGCGCATTTTTTAGCAGACATTCTTTTCTTATCACTCTTTTTGTGTTCCATGCCAACATTCTTCACGCTGATATTTTCACAAGCGATTAATTATTATTCTTCCTCTTCCTCTTCTTCTTCGTCTTCTTCTTCTTCTTCTTCTTCTTCTTCTTCTTCTTTCAATTGTAGACCTGAACTTTGACTCCGGCGACGAGACTGACATGAGAAACATCATCAATGCATGCTCGGAGTAAGAGTCCTCACTGAAAAATAGATTTTTGTTCTACAATTTGATTTTCATTTCGTTTCTATTCTTCAATGGAAAATCAATTCTTAATCTACGATTTCATCTCCATAAATGTTGTTTTTGTTTCAAAGAGACAAGGTAGGATTCTCGCTTGTGTTTGAATTAATACTGATACAATATATATATATATATATATACCGTATTTACTTGGTTTGATCTAATGTATTAATTGATACGTGTATATGCATATATATATATATAGAGAGAGAGAGAGCATACATTCATACGAAAAATCAATTAAATAATCGTCTCTGGTTTCCAAATAGTAGATGTTACGGTTTCAAATAGAGTATGACCCCTCTGCCATGTAAAAGACTGCAAAATTCTCAACTTGTTATTACAAAACAAAGAAAGTTTAAATATAAAAACTTTTAAGATGCTTGACTTGAATTGCTTCCTTGAATCTTGAATCTCACCAAAAACGTTTCTTGAATTTTCTTGAAGTCTTGAAGCTAAGAGAGATAAGAATGGTGCAGAGAATAAAAGTAGAATTGTGTAACTCCTCTTGTGATATAGGTTCTTTTATATAGAATATAGGTTCTTTTATATTAGACTTTAGTACTTCTTAGGTCTTCTTTGAAAGTAATTAGGAAAATAATCTAACTTCTTGAAGACAAGAAATTCTAATCATAATTATGAAAAAAGGTTTTAGTCTTGTATTACTTCCACGTAGAACTCCGTGTCCTAAATAACTATATCAACCTTCAAAAGGCAAATAATCATGTGATCTCATTCTTCTATAATCATGTGATCTCATTCTTCTTTGTTGGCATATTTGACAAATTCCTAAACAAGTACCTACAAAAACCTTCCAACACGAGCTCAAGACCATAAAGGAAGCAAAATTAAAATTAAATAAAAACATAAATAAAAATCACTAATTAATTAAAAACTATTAAAAATCCTATTAAAAACTATCAAAAAAAACCTATTATTTGCAAAGGAAATCCGGGTAAAAGTTGATTGTTGAGATTCTTCTTGAAGATGGATTACTGGTTTCACTATGTAGGCTGGATTGTAGCTCATTTATGTAGGCTGAAATTATCATGGAATCTTGAGGTGCACAAGTTGATTATTGAGATAGATTCTCTAGTCCCTAAATAACTTATCTCTAATTCCCAAGGCTGAGAATCTACGTTTTGTTGAATGTCAAAATTCAGTATAAGGAGTTACTGAATCGTCCATGGCAAGCAAAACAAGTAGTCGACAAACTAGCTAATTGGGCTGTGAATTCTAGAATGGGAATGCAGGTTTTTATGTTCCTCAGTTATTGATTGAGCTTCGTCCAAGGTTATCATACATTCGCCATATATGGACACAGATGAGTTTCTATCACCATACGTCAATAGCACTAATGAAAGAACAAGTCGCACTAACCAGGTTTCATTGATCGAAGATTCATGTCTTATCAAGATTTAAAATATCCAACCAAATAAAGTCACACTCCATAAATCTAACTTGGGTTTGATCCAAACTTTGCTTCCAAAATAAGCAAACTTTGCTTCCAGGAAATCTACAGTTAGGTTGGATGTAGTGGAGGCCCTATTAGCTCGGTTTTAGGGCTGGTTGTTCATGTTTTTCCTGATATTATATAATAAACTAAATTTATTTGCCAATCAAAACAGAAATTTGGAGTAACAAATAAATGATGATGAAATTTGATAAAATTATCCAAATGAATTTGAAAGTTTTTATTATTTCATATTATTAAATACAAAAGCTCCACTTGACATTCATAATTTTTTTGAAATAATGAGTTGAATTGAATAGATAAGTAATTATTTAAATACTTTTAAATTACAATAGCAATAATTCATCTAATATTCATTCGATGACATTACTAATACAAGCCTTCATAGATATTGAAGGAAATTTTTATTTCATTATAAAAGCTTTCATAGATATTGAAGGAAATTTTTATTTCATTATAATTTAAATCATTCCATGATTTATTTGGAGATGAAGTAAAACTACGTAACATTAGCCAATAGTAGGAACTAGAATGACCACACCACATTCATCGACCCAAACCCGGACTCTGTCCCACCTAAGATCCTTCGTCACTGGAGTTCCTTCCTTCAACACGATAGCGTGCAGATCTTTGTTCTCTTTCTCTATGAGAGCTGCAGCAGCTTTCCCATTCTCCCCGAGCAGCTCCGGCCATGAGGTCTTACCTGCAAATTTTCAATTTTCTTGTAACTTTCATGTCTCATGGTCATGCCAAAAAATCGAAGTTAAAAACAAAATAAAACTTCAGTAAAACTAATAAATTACCAGGTTGAAACCACATATAGCCATTATCTATTGCTGTAACTGTTTATCTGCCTCTTTCTGCCTTTTTCACTGAATTGAATGCAGGTAACTACAGATTAATGGTTGAATATAAGAAGCTTTTCAAATTCTTTAAAAGCAGATTTTTGCTATTTTAGAATAGGAAAAGGACAAAAAAAAAAAAAAAAAAAAAAAAAAAAAAAAAAAAGAAAAGAAAATGTTTTTAAAAATCACGTGGGGAAAAAACAACGTGGGCTGCAAATCGATTGCCGAATAAATATCCATTCTATCTATACTAAGTGATAGATATATACTTAGAAAAAAAATATACATATATGAAAATTGTATATATGAAAATTTTTCTTAAGGAGAAGTGAAACGAAAAGGACTTTTTTTTATCTTTTATAATTTTTGTGCTAATTTTTGTTTTTTTTTTTTTGGATTTATACCACCGGTGTACTCAAGCCCATTGGGCTTCGACTACATCTGGCTTGAGTATTACAGGGCCACATAGGAAGCAGACTCTCCTAGCGTGCCAATTTCTATACCCAAGACTCAAACTCGATACTTTAGGATAAGGGAGATGGAGTCTCAACCACTTCATCCCAACCAACTTTAGTTGTGCTAAATTTTTTTAACAAAGTTATGCCAAAGAAAATAATTTTAACGATAAGGTCTACAAAATATTTAAATAGTTTAGTATTTATATTTAAAATTATAAATTAAATAAAATTAAATTAACTCAAATAATCATAATTAGCACACATATACAATACATATAGAAATAATTTTTACAATTGGATCGAATATGAGATTACCTAGTGGAACCCGTTACTCAATCCCATCCGTGAATTATAAAAATGATCCGCCCAGCCCAACTCATATATTTTAAATTCCCATCGAATAGTTCGATTGGGTCGCTTTAGAACGGGATTGCAGTCCTTCAAAGAATTAAGAAAACAAAAAAAAAAATACAAATTGGGAACCTCCGCAACCACAAAATGGACCTATCTTAAACCCCCTTGAATCTCTCATCTATGCTATATATGGAAGATGTATTGAATCTTTGAGGCGAATACATAAGCCCTGAACTGTGCAAAAAGTCTGGACTTCCCTCAATCTTAAAAGACTTGGGGCCCCCTTAACCTACTTTAACAATGGCGCACTTTTTTTTAAATTGTTATTGTTTAGATATGTTTTCTCTTTCGATTTTTCTCTAAAAAGAATATTATTACAGAGACCGCCTAATTATGTAAAGGAGAAACCATTGAGGTTTGCAATAAGTTTTGGATTGTGGCACTTCTAGCAAAATGGAACCTCTAACATTTTAGCATTCCATTATCTTGCTTGAAAATTTCAATATTTTTTCTTTTTAATTTACTTTTTCTCCCTCTCATTTATTATTTAATATTATTTCCACTTCCAATCTTATAGTTTAAATTAATTATGCAAATTGAAAAAATTTAACTATGAGTATATTTTATAAAGTGTAAAATTAAAACAAAAAGTTGTGATTATGTAAAATCAAAACTAAAAACTAAATTAATAGCTTTGAATTGAACCAAATAATAAAAACTAATTGATTTTATAATCTAATTTTTCTGACCTATACTAGGCTACTCATTTTGGACGTCTCTACAAAAAAATATCTTTATATATATATATAATATAATATATATATATATATAAAGTTCTTTAATTTTGAAAGAAAGAGATTCTTTGCATTAAGAACTTACCATATATTATATCAACTATTTTAACTAAATCATGATAAGGAAAAAAGAGCTTACATTTTAAATTAGATAAAGAATTCAATTAAATACAATCCAAGCCATTTAAAATGCTAAAGGCATGTAATTCTGCAAAAAATTTTAATTTCTTAAATAATCAACAAACATATTTAACACTAACATAACAAATGTATACTATACCTCATGCAAAGGCGGGAGACCAACAAGCAAATTCTAAACTTTTTCATTTTCGTTATTTAATTATAATAACCATTATAATTATTATAATAAAAACCTTGGTTTCTTCCTTTTGCAATAATAAATGATCAAATAATAAATTTTTGTAATAATATAACACTACTTAGTTTTTCCAAAAAATTAATAACCACACATAATTGTTATAACATTTTGTTATTTATAATAATTACCCTTTTTTTTTCTAAATCTAACTCCCTTTGGCTTCCTATAAATGAAGAATACATCTATAAATTTACACACAAATTCTATTTTGTTTTATGGTGAAATATTTAGATAGCGATAAATATAATACTAGACACCGTATGATAACAATTCAATGAAATTTATTTCTTTTTCTATTCAGTATAATTTAGATCAGAAGTTATTTAATTTGTAAAAGCAATGTTTAATTTATGTTTTAAGTTTAAACTAAGCAAGTGAAGTTTATTGTTTTGTAATTGTTAGCATAGAATCATTTATCACTTTTAAATAATAAAAAAAGCGAATTATTTATTGTTACATACGTCAAAGAATAATAAATAAAAAAAAAGGCAATCGACAAAAATATTATCTTTATCTATATAATTTATTTTCATTTTTCCAAATCAAAATTTAATTTGTATCAATTATTTATAAGTGTTAATCCGCACAACGGCTGGCAATACGACATATTTATATATAGAAGAGATCAATGGAGCTTTCGCTTGATTGGATGACGCGAGCATCATTTGAAAAGCAAACCTCTAAGATTTTACATTTTGTATTTCCTGAAAAATTTGCCTTTAAACTTTTGCCAATTTAATATCTCCTTTTCGTATTTTTTT